AAATTCTTTTCTGTCTTGATAACCAGTACATACGCAGCTATATTTTCGTTGAGTACAGAAGCCATATGAGTTTGACCTTGACGCGGAAATTTAGCACACTGACAACCGCGCTTCATTAATTTTTTGACCCATGGACAGCGGTGCGATTTTGCGAACGCGGCCGTCTCACCTCGCATATATGTACGGATTCTATTAGGTTGGCAAGATTGAAATGTCGCTTCCGTTTGTGCCTTTGTTTCTCAGCTTAAACACAATCTCTTAGGATGGGAGACCATTCATTCGAGAGAGCGATTCAGCGCATATATTGCGAAATCTTAGGCGCCACTGAGCGGATGTTCTTCGAGCCAAAACTTTTGCTCGAAGATGACTGATCAGAAATCATCGTCTGAGCGTATATATTCAAGCAAGGAAAAACGGCCAACGAATCTCACTCATTGTGTGCAAAACATTGAGCAGTAACACTTAGTCTCTGATGCACTTTCAGCTATGGTTTCAGCTCTTCCAAGACTGAGGTAAAGGACCTGAGGGTGGATTTTGACCTCTAGCTCTAGATGACGGAGAAATAAAGAAAGCCAACGAATTGAGTCCTCGACAAACCGCACAAAACTTGCATGGAGATTCAGTTGTGTCAACAGAAAAATTTAAAAGTTCCTACGTGCGACTGTTAAGGCCTTTCAGGATAGAAAATGGGTTCGGCCTATTCTGAGCGACGCGAGCAAGCAGTACTGGTTGCCAATACTGGAACTTCGCTCCATAACTTCAAGAGGAAAAAGGTTCTTGACTTCGTGTTGACCGCATTTTACAAAGAGATGTTTCCCAATAACAACGCGAGAAGATGACCGTGGTTGGCGGCTGATGGGCAGCTGAGGGCCTCTCTGAAACCGGACATCCACTGAGAAAAAGTCGTGCTACGGTGTGGTGGAACAGTATAAGACTGGCTTACTATGGAGAGCTGATTGTGGGTCAGACAGTTACAGCTGAAGCCTGCGCACAACAGCCCGCCCGCGTGGACCGAGCTCTGCGTCGTCAAGGGGTGAATTCGGCCAATGTAAAACTATTGCACCATAACGGAAGACCACATGTCGTGAAAATCACGCAACAAGAAATCGAGGAGTTGGGCTGGGACGTTCTACCTCCAGCGCCATATAGCCCAGGTCTGGCGCCGTCCGACTATCACTGACCCAGGTCAGCGCAACACTCCTTAGCAGCAAACCAATTCGATAACCGCGACGACGTCAAAATTTGAGTGCCCAACTTCTTCGAGTCGAACCAGAAAGAGTTCTACGCGGTAGGCATCCATGCTTTGCGTAACGAAAGGTGATGAGCCTGTGACACAGGTGAAGGAGATGGTTCAGGTTGATGTGCTTCATTATTGTTTTTATAATGAAAATAATTGATGATCGAAAACGACATTTCAATCTGGCCAACCTAATAGATAATGAAGACACAAAATATGGATGGCACAAAGTTATTTCAGCAAGTTTCAGTGCATAACAATCATCAAAGGCATACTAGACGAAATTCAACTAAAGAACGTTCAACGGCAAGAAAAAAGAGCAAAATTTATTAGTTCTCGCTGCAGTGATCGTCAAGAGCAGTTTTGAATTGATTGTTCCAATCACAACATATATCTAGTCATTCAGTTGTGCTGTATTTACTTTTACCTTTACCAAAGCTATTATTTGTTTATTTAGTTAGTATATTCTCATGTGAGTGCCA